ACCCACCGAGTAGCGATGCACCCACAGAGAGTAGACACGCCCACCGAGTAGCGATGCACCCACAGAGTAGACACGCCCACCGAGTAGAGATGCACTCACAGATAGTAGACATGCCAGCTGAGTAGAGATGCACCCACAGAGAGTAGACACGTCCACCGAATAGAGATGCACCCACAGAGAATAGACACGCCCACCGAGTAGAGATGCACGCACAGAGAGTGGACACGCCCATCGAGTAGAGATGCACGCACAGAGAGTAGACACACCTACCAAGTAAAGATGCACCCACAGAAAGTAAACACACCCACAGAGTAGAGATGCACCCACAGAGAGTAGACACACCCACCGAGTAGAGAGGCACCCCCAGAGAGTAGACACACCCACCGAATAGAGATGCACCCACAGAGAATAGACACGCCCACCGAGTAGAGATGCACGCACAGAGAGTGGACACGCCCACCGAGTAGAGATGCACCCACCGGGAGTAGACACGCCCACCGAGTAGAGATGCACCCACAGAGAGTAGACACGCCCATAGACTATTATTATTTTTTCTCTTTTCTTTTATTGCACTGAACAGGAGCATCACTCCTACTTTCGTTGTGTACTTAGTATACAATGGCAATAAAGCTTCTATTCTATTCTATTCAATACACTATAGACATGCCCACATTGTAGAAACACACACAGCAGAGGTATGCCAACAGAGACACGTCCACAAAGTAGAGATACACCAACAGAATAGAGACTTGCCCACTGAGTAGAGACTCGCCCACTGAGTAGTGGCACGTCTGCAGAGTAGAGACACGCTCATTTAGTAGAGACACACCCACTGAGTAGTGGCACGCCCGCAGAGACACACCCACTGAGTAGTGGCACACCCGCAGAGACATGCCCACTGAGTAGTGGCACGCCCACTGAGTAGTGGCACACCGGCAGAGTAGAGACATGCCACTAAGTAGAGACACACCCACTGAGTAGTGACATGCCCACTGAGTAGTGGCACGCCCACAGAGTAGAGACATGCCCACTGAGTAAACACGCCTACTGAGTAGTGGTTAGGGTGACCAGATAATCCATGTCAGGGAGGACACTTTGAGCTACTTCGGGTTTTACAAAATACTTTCAAATTGAA